CCTCCCTTCCTTCCTTTCTTGCTCTTTTTTTTTTTTTTTTTTAAGACAAGGTTTCTCTGTGTAGTCCTGGCTGTCCTAGAACTTGCTTTGTAAACCAGGCTGGCCTCAAACTCAGAGATTTTAACATTTCTTTAAAGTAATAACCAAACGCTTTGTGAGAACTTAAAGGGGAAGATCCTCAAAATAGATGAAGGCTAGGTGTGTTGGAGCACATCTTTAATCCCAGCACTCAGGAAGCAGACACAGGTGGATCCCTGAGTTTGAGGCCAGCCTGGGCTACATACTAAGAGCCTGTTACTTTTTTTTTTTAAAGTTTTTATTCATTTTACATACTAACTACAGTTCCCCCTCTCTCCCCTCCTCCTGCTCCCCCATCACGTACTCTCTCCCCCATCCACTCTTCAGAAAGGGTAAGGCCTCCCATGGGGAGTCAACAAAGCCTGACATAGTCAACTGAAGCAGAACCAAACTCCTACGCCCTGTATTGAGGCTGAGCATGGCATCCCACTATATGGAATGGCCTCCAAAAAGCCAGCACACTCACCAGGGATCCTGGTTCTACTGCCAGGGGTCCCACAGACCAGGCCCACATGCAGAGGGCCTAGGAGGATCCCATGTTTCAAACAAAACAAAACAAATCAAAAGTTGATAAAACTTTGTTTTGTACTAAACTATATAAACAGAGATTGCCATAGAAATGCCCCACCATGTTCTGAAGGCAGAAAGAACTGTTAAACTTTACTGAATAGATTAGGGGGAAAAATCAGAGCAGCCAGAGGCTAGTGTGAATTATTCAAAGCATTAGGTCATAATCAAAGCACTTTCCTCTTTCATTAAGAATTTGTCAATATTTTTTAGCATCTATTGTCTCAGATGTTTGTTTAAAGAAGGAATGAGTCATTACCTGGCAGTGGTGGTGCACGCCTTTAATCCCAGCAAAGGCAAGAGGAGGATCTCTGAATTCAAGGCCAGAATGAAGTCTCCAAAGCTACACAGAGAATGCTGTCTAGAAACCCACCTCCCTCCAAAAAAGAAGGGATGAATGGGAGATTGAATATCCTAGTTCCCAATCTCATGGAGCTCCAATCTCATCATCTTACTGTGTAATTCTTTTACATTGGTTAACAAATAATGGCTATAGGAAATATTGTTACCTTTGAAATGGTAGTTTTTTTATGAATTATTTTTATTATTATTTTATGTGAGTAGATGTTTTGCCTACATGTGTTTGTGTGTACCATGTACATACCCGGAGTCTATAGGGACCAGAAGGGTGCTTCGGATCCCCTATGGTTAGAGATAATCATAAACCACCATGTGCGTGCTGGGAATCACACCCAGGTTCTCTGGAGGAGCAGCCAGTGCTCTTTACCACTAGGCCATCTCTCCGAATGACACAGTATTTTAGAAATTTGTTTTGAGTTTTTTTTTTTTTTAGAAAATTAAGCAAGTTAGTGAATCACAAATACCCAAAGTATGCTTGAAATAAAATATTAATTTAATTATTTTCAGAAAGTATGGGAAGCTGAGATGCCCTGATTGGGAGAAAAGCGTATAATGCGTCCATGCACGTTAGGGAAGGGCTTGATGCTTCCCCTAATAACTGTAATATTATTGTTTCCAAGATTTGTGCATGGTCTTGTAAGAATTATCTTAATGATAAATGCTTCTGTTTGTAAATATTCTTGGAAATGTACATATTTTAACCTTTAGAAATTAGTTATTTATTTTGTTGTACATTTTTGTAACTTGCTGCTTAAAAATGCCATCTTGAGTTTTTTAAAATTCTTTTTTAGATTTATTTTTTACTTTATGTGTAAGAACGTTTTGTGTGTATGTATGAACAGCATGTGTGTGCCAGGTGCTTGCAGAGGTCAGAAGAGGGTTTGAGCTCCTGGAACTAGAATTATGGATGCCTGTGGGCCACTGTGTGGTCTCTGGGAATTAAATCTAGTCCTCTTAAGAAGTACCAAGTGCTGTTAACCTCTGAACCATCTAACCAGCACCCACCCCATCTTGCGTTTTAAAAATTGGTTTTAACAATTTATCTCATAGAAGC